AGTAGTAGTAGTAGTAGTACTACTACTATATATATATATATATATATATGTGTGTGTGTGTGTGTGTGTGTGTGTGTGTGTGTGTGTGTGTGTGTGTGTGTGTGTGTGTGTGTGTGTGTGTATGAGCGTTACGAGTCCGAGGATCAATGTTTCGTCTTCGAGCAGATATACATCCCACAGCAGCCGTCTCAACTGTGTGAAAGAGTGTGGTCGGACGAATCCGAGCGCGAGCTGTCTGTCATATATGTTCGCAAGTTTGTCAGTTTCTATTTTGATTATCAAAGATGCACATCCCACAGCGCAAGCACACCGGCGATGTGCCCAGCTTGTAAGAATAGACAACTTAAGCTCGGGTGATTTAGAGTTACAATAGCAAAGCCTGGCAAGCGCTCGATGTAATGTTGTGGGCGTACGTGATCGACATTAAATAAACGAGCTGCACATTGCCTACGGCAAATTTAAACGTTCCATAATGCCAGCGCGAACGTTATGCCCGCCCACCTATGCGCCAATCCGTATCGAAGTAAGGAATATAATTCGCAGACTTCCCTAACCTACATCAATATATCAACGAGAGACTCTAATGTTAAGTCCACGGTGTGAGACGATACAGAATCTCTTAAGCCGACAACCCAAGCAAGACTGCTTTCAGGTTACGAGTTCGCAGACTTGTCAGCGTTCTGAGTGACAAGAATACACACTATACATCAATGTAAACCGCTCATACTCTCTGCACGCATCGTATAGCCGCGCGCACGCCAAGCATGTGCCATAGTCATTGGTCGTACTTTGAGAACAGGGGACAACTAGAAAGGTTCGCCAGAACAGCAGCACACGTTATGAATCAATCTATGATCTCAAATAAGAAGTACACGCAATGTCCAGGGAAAAACTTGCACATACCCACGAGTATAGATAGCTGCGAGGATCCACACGTTTTGAGTCCATGAAGTGACTCAGCTCCGGGTCGTGGTACTGTAACAGCATACGGAACAGTTGGTAGGGTATCTTGGCCTGATTGCCTTGAGGATGGGGTATGAACTTTTCAATGATGGCGTAGAAGCAGTTGAACACACGCCACAGAGGCAGATTAAGAGTCAGCAGGGGCCGTACTATCTCCGCCCACCCGGGCCTGTACAGATGGTGAGAATGTGTATATAGATAATTAGTTATATACATATAAATATATATATATATATATAAATATAGATAAAATATATATATGTATATATATATATTGTATAATATATATATATATATACATATACTTATATAATACACGCACATACACGCATTG